GGAAACTATTTTGTGCAACTTTTTTGTATTTACAGTTTTGAGGGATAAGCCTCTTAAACTTCTCTAACTAGAAATATATGTTAAAAAAACAAAAACGATTTTCAGGTTTTTTGTAGTTTATTGCACTTTTTTGCAATTTATGTAATTACTATGCACTTAATGCATACATATTATTAAAATCTAGGCTGTAATGGTTGTATTGATGTATAGCAACTTGAAATGCTCCCAAAAATGGCTCTACAGCATGTAAGAATATAATATAAGCTCTGGTGGACTTGGTTCTATGGTAGGTCTTAAAGGGTTAAAGCTCCTGTGTTGAATATTATCTTAATTTTATTCTACAATCATACATTGACATGATTAGGTGGAGTAATTGTAGTAAATAAATTGTTTGCTCAATTTCATCCACCATCGTCCTGACCCTCCTCTTCCTTTTTTTACCTCCTTCCTGCTAACTCCTCTCCTCGTCTCTTCCAGGAGAGAAGCCCTACCACTGTACCTGGGAAGGCTGCACCTGGCGCTTCGCCCGCTCCGACGAGCTGACCCGACACTTTCGCAAGCACACCGGAATCAAACCCTTCCGCTGCACCGAATGCGACCGCTCCTTCTCCCGGTCTGACCACCTCTCCCTGCACCGCCGCCGCCACGTGATGATGTGACTTCCTTCCTTCCTCTCCCCCGACGCTCCCAGCTCCCTATCAAACTGACCTCTGACCCTTTGATTTCTCAAAAGCCCCTCACAGCACATCTTGTACCAGTGCCCCCAAAACCCAAAACAAAACTCCCGGTTCCCCCCCGCCCCCCCGCCGGAATTTAAAACCAACCTGCAAAAAAAAAAAAAAAAGGACTCTACCTTTTCCTCCTCTTCCTCCTCATCTTCATCTCACAGTCATAGGACAATCGTGTCTGTGTGTTTGTTCGGTGGTGGCAGCAGGATGTTTTTTGCTGCGTGTGTGTGTCTGTCATCATTACCGTCCAGCCCAAAGCAGTCCTCTCTACCATCCTCCGACTCAGTCACACAAGATGTTGCCTCCTCAGAGAGAGAAAGGATGGACTGAAGGACATCCAGCAGCAGGGACTTTCATGCTTCCATCCATCCATTACATGCATCAGTCCATCCAAAAGGCAAAGAGGAAGAGGAGGGCTCACACAGATGTCACTTCAGCTGCTCTTTTCTTGATTTACAGTTTTTATTTTGTTCATATCCTGAGTTTGGAATCTACGTGACTCCAAAATTTATTTTCTTGAAGGATTCTTGGAAGCTACAGAGACTTCCGAGGACGCCGCCTCCCGCCACAGCTTTTTCAAGTTTCGTTCCACCCCAGTTATATTTGCCTGAGTGACTTTTTGATCAAATAACAGGTAAATAAATATAAAATACAGCATTACTCAAAAATGCTCCAGATGTCATTATAGTTCCTTAAATATTAAGTAGCTGCGACTTGGATGACAGTAAACTGCTTACAGTTGCTGAATATTTGGACTGTCTTCGGATTTCAAAGTGGAGCGTAGAGTCGTGCAGTTCCTGGAGTTCTTTAGTTCCTGGTTCTGTTTGCAAAAGTAAAAGAACCAAAACTCATTTATCATAAATTCAGATGAGGTATTTACTTAACTGTGCATATCGATGTGTGTGTGTGCGCTTATTTCATCGACAGCAGCTGAAGTGACGTCAAATGCATCAGCATGTCTGAGGCTAAAACGCTGCGCCCCACCCTCCCATCGCCATTCGCCTCCTTCTCCCCTAACCCCCCGCCACCTCCCCCGGTACAGGGAGCTACAAGACTGTGAATTTAATAAAACTTCATTTGTTTTCATTGTATCGATCTATCGATCACGTGGTTGTTATCGCCCCGCCCACCTTTCCGATTCCTCTTGAATAACAGTATTTGCTTTGTTTGCGCCGTCGTCGCTGTTGTTTTATCAGAAAAACACAAAAAAAAGGCCTTTAGTCCCGTCTACATTTTTTTTCTTTTCCTTTTTTGGTGTTCTAAACAAAATGTTGTTCTTTTGTTTTTTATTTAAAAAGAAAAAAAACTTTCAGATCTTTTTTTTTTTGGTCGTTGTTTTCTGAGGCTGTGAAAAAGACAGAGGAGACACAAATAGATTGAGAATACAAGTAAAACTCTCATGCAGGGAATAGGGGAGCTTTTCTGAGTGTGCGTGTGTGCGTGTCCGTGAGTTAAGTGTGCATGTTTTGAGACAAACACATAATCAAGAATTTAAGATTTTTATGAGTGCGTTGTTCCGGGCACTTGTTGTTCTTTTACCTCTTGCCCGTCGAGCCTTAATAACCGAAGTCAATCTGTAAGGGCAAAACTAGAACCGCCGACAGACGACGAGCGGCCACAGCGTTCGCTTGAGTTCAGTTTAGTTTTTGAAGTTTAAAAACAGGAAATTAAAGGTGTTATGTGTGGAATTTGTTTCCGTATTTGGTGAGAAAAGTTTTTTCGCTGAAAAAAAACATGCTTGCTGATTTTCAAGCCTTTTAAAATAGAAATTTTAACATTTATTTTAACAGTGTCACCAAAGTGAGTTCAACCTAAAGCATTTCAAAGTTTTAACAAATCAGATGGTTTGAGAATTTCCAGCTTTTGCTCATCAGACTCTTTCGAGACTGTTCTTTTTTAATATAATTAAATGCTTTTGTAACCTTGCATCGTTATGAGAGCAAGAAGACTGATAACGGAGTGGTGAACGTCGTCTGTCGGTGGTTCTGGGAGAAATCGGGCGTCTCGTAGGGCTGTCGGGGTCCAGGCGCCTGGGGTTTAAACCACGGGGAAACTTAAGCGCTCTCCTCACTAGCATTTCTACTGGGGTGGGGGGTCAATTCACTCCGGTTTGTTTTTAATGGCAATAGAATCTCAGTTAAAAGCCTCGAGTAGATACTAACAGATGAATCGTGTCTCGAATTGGGTTCTTTTGGAGCAGAATCGACCCCCGCCTCACCCTGGTTCCTCACCCACAGTGTCCATGTCTTAAGTGGGCTGGTTTTCAGCTCCCGATCCGGGCTGAACTTGATTATGCAACATAACGCAGACGCAGCTCCAAGCGCTGTTCTGATCACAGTCCTAGAGCACTAGCTGGTAGTTGGGTTCCTGATAAGCAGCTCACGTAGGGTTGTTGCAGGAACCTTAAGAGGAAGGTCGGGTTCGTGTAGAGGCCTGCGCTGTCGATCACAACTCTGTTGGTATATAAGACTTAAGGTGTGGAAACACATCCATAATTTCAAACAGACTTGGTAATGAGCGAGTGGGGAGCTGGGGTTGTGATGGACGGAGCAGGCTTTTCTCGTCCTGGCTCGTCTCTTTTCAAGCAACAACCCCCCCCAATAAAAAACGGCTACACACATTTTGCTTTGAATTCGTTCTCGCCATTTACAGTCGTCTTTGTCATCATTTCAGAAGCTAGTAAGTGAGAGCAAAATGTTTTACATCTCGACTTTTCACATTGCGATAAACGAGATGGACACGCAGGCTTGCTGTGAGCGGAGCGCATGCCGCGAAGAGGGCAGATTCGTTGCGTGGTCTCCGCGCTGCGAAACAGAAGAGAATCCGTCTTAGCCGAGTCACTGAATATGGTTTAAAAATGAGGGAATCTGTTCCTGTCTTTCCATTTCCCATCAGGGGAAGCATTACTTAGAATTCAGTCACTCGTTTGGAAGGATTTAGATGGTTTATTTGTTATGTTTTTGCAGCGCAGAGCAATGCAATGTTCCCATTTCTCTTAACATCCCCTGCTTCAAGTAAAAAAAAAAAAAAAGAAGTTACTAAGCACATCTTTCTAGAAGAGTATATGCATTTGATTGCAATTTTCTTTCTTTTGTAAACTGTTGATAAAGACATTAAGGACAATGACAAATAATTAAGAGAAATCCATGTACATAAATGTATATAATCAAAGTGCAGAGTAAATGTAACGGGTGAATTTCTATTTTTAACACTGACTAGATAATGTGAAAAATCTTTTTTTTTTCTCTCTTCTTCCTCTGTTGGTTTGATGAAATGTGTTTTTCATCACGTGTATTTTTTTTTTTCTCGATCTAATACATTTGTTTCGTAGTTTCTTAAAAAAAGAACAATTATATGGTCCCACTTGTGTTGTGCACATTTGTGTTGCATGGAGAGTAGCCTTCTTGTTTTCTTATAGTGACGTTGGTGAGCATGTCAAGTGCGTGTGAGACCGTTGAGATGCCCCAGCAGGGGTGGGGGTGGGAAACGACCCCCTACTCAACTAACTAGGGATTCATTATAACAACCGAGCTTAATGTCCCAGTACTGGACCTGGTTTTAAATGTCAAGTTAAATGTGAGATTCAGTTGGTTTGGGTCAGACCCATTTTTTTCCTCCTTCAGCTTCAGGTGTGTTCTGCTCAGATAAGTTAACAGGAAGTAAGAGGAAGTCCCCAGATTTACAGTAGCCAGTTTAAATGTGTTGATATGTTTCTCCTTTTTCAAATCGATGTTAAAATCCAAGCAGCGAAAACATTACTCATGTTAGATCAGTCAAGTGCTGCACGGTTCTTTTAAAGATACCTAATTGAAGTGCAAAAACAAAACACAGAGCTACTATATGCGTCTTCTCTTTAGATTCACTTGTTATCGGACCAGGTGTCGTATACGTTATCTGTTTCTGGGGCTTCCTGGCTCCACGTCGTTACAGTTGAGGTGCGTGGACGTTTCTTTGTGGTGCTAACAGGAAATGGGGGTTCTGGTTTTTCCAGCACATTCAGTTTTATCTCTCCATCGGCCTCGCGTCTGGTTCGGAGATTGCTTTCGATCTTTTTGTTGCATGCGAATGGAATCGTTGATCTTTCCTCGACCACACACGCTAACTGCTCGGCACTGATCTCGTTTATCGTTTAAATGTCATCTTTATGACTAATTAGTGGACGAGGTCAGGAATGAATGAACGTTTAGTAGAAATCCAGCGAAATCTCAAGACCTCCAAGTACAGCTTCTTGTCTCCTTTTAGCACCACGAATGAAACCTTCCCGCTCACGTATCTCAAAGATTAATGCATTAAAAAGTACCCCTGAATGCTAAGCCCCTTTATTTCTGGGAATGTTAACCCCACAGAGCACATGTACTCTGCGTCATTTAGTAACTGCTATTGGCCCTTTTGCTTTACAAGCACACTGATCAGCTCAGTTGATATATTTGCACACCGAGACAAACTCACACACGCGCTGAAACCTCTGGAGACACGCCGACGATGGTCGGTTATTAACATCCGAGCCTGTTGACGACACCCTGGGCAGGATATTTTCGCTGGTGTCGGAGCTTTGGCAGGGAGACTGATGCATGTGTACATTTATCTCCTGCTTCTTGTTGGTTTGTGCAAGCTTGTTTTTCCTCAGTATTCCTCTTTTTTTTCCCGTTTCCTTCCCTTTTTGTTCTTGTATAAAAGCAGGATTGTGAAAAAAAAGAACCATAGAGACAGAGTTTTATCCCTGCTGAAACCGTAACGGGATCGAGTTCGTGTCTGAGGGTGACGTCACGTCCGTGCGCGAGTGCCTCGACTCACCGCGAATCACATCTTCTGCAAATCTGGAACTTTTAGGTATTTTCTATTGAATGCAGTAACTTATGGGCCAGTACTATATTTACTCAGTGCAATGCAGTTATCATTATAATAATACAATTATTAATAATATTTTTCTTTTTTGTATTTGTACAGAACAAATGTGTAAAGATCAGTGAGGAAAACGTGAGCTTTTTGATACTGTGACTCATGGTGTTTAAAAGTCAGTTTCTCCCTGTACAGTTGTG